CATCCCTGCCACCAGGTCCACTTTGTTCATGTGCCCATTGGGCAATGACAGGAGTGGCAGAGATTAAAGGAGGACCAGTCTCCACAGTGTGTGTCATCTTATCCATTGGATTGTTAAAGTCCTCCTCTTCAGAGGTAACCTTTGGTGGAGCATTCACATGAGACTTGATTATCTTTACTTTCTAGAGGTTTATCCACATACCTCTTCCCCACACCTCCTTGTCACCAATTTTCCAATCATGTTCCTTCCAATTCCCTGACCATCCAGCCAAGCCATTAGCCACAGCCCATGAATCAGTATACAGTTTCACATTTGACCATTTCTCCTTCCAGGCAAACTGAACTGCTGGAAGTTCTGCCCATTGGGAGGATTTCCCTTCACCACTGTCCTTTAGGGAGATCCCAGAAAGGGGCTGTAGTGCTGCTGCTGTCCACTTACGAGTGGCACCTGCATATCGTGCAGAGCCATCAGTAAAGCAAGCATTACTTTTCTGTTCTTCAGTCAACTTATCATAAGGAACCTCCCCAGGAGGCCATAGGTGCAGACTGGGAGAAGGAAGGTACTGTGACAGGAGTGGAGACTGTGGGCATTTGGGCCACTTCTTCATGCAGCTTACTTGTCCCTTCAGGTCCTGCTCTGGCCTGATCTTGTATATACCACTTCCATTTAACAATGATAGAGTGTTGCATGTCAGTTCCCCGTGGGCGCCAAACTGCGGTGGCCCGCACCTGCAGAGGGTCTATGACGGGAAGACGTGGAGTGGGATTAAAGAAAGACAGAACAGCGGGGTTGGGAGGACTGGCACAAGGCACCTGCAAATTTATTTTTCACACACTATGCTTTATACTATTTCGGAAGAAAGCGGTTATGCCTGAACACAATCACCAGGTCAAGCTTGGCCGGAGCGTGTCTGATTAATGTCTGTTCCTAGAACAAGTTCAGACAAGCTCAGAGAGCGTTCCGCTCCCAGGAAGCCTTCCTATATCCTCCCATACAAGCCGTCAAGCCTTTGACAAAAGTCAAACACGATATCATGAGCTTTAACTGTTTGCATTCCAGGGGGAAGAGGGCAGAGTCCAGGGCCATGCCATGTCCTCTCCGTCCCTCAGACTCTGCCTGATCCATGACAGTTTCCAACACATGTCCAACTTTATGACTCTGTGGGTCAGACCATACCCAGTTCATGATGGGCAACTCAGACCTCATGGTGACAGTGGCCCATGGTGAGGCGTTCAGTCTCCACTGATGCCCAGTAACAGGCCAACAGCTGTTTTTCAAAAGGGGAGTAGGTGTCTGCAGAGGATGGCAGGAACTTTACTCCAAAATCCCAAGGGTCTACGCTGTGATTCGCTAATAGGGGTCTGCCAAAGACTCCACACTGCATCCTTATCTACAACAGATACTTCTAGCACCATCAGGTCAGCTGGATCATATGGTCCCAGTGGCAAAGCAGCTTGCACGGCAGCCTGAACCTGTTGCAGAACCTTTCCTTGTTCTGGGCCCCACTCAAAATTGGAGGCTTTTCGTGTCTCTTATAAATAGTGGAATTAGAACACCCAAATGAAGGATGTGTTGCCTCTAAAACCCAAAGAGGCCCTTTAGATGTTGTGCCTCCTGTTTAGTTGTTGGGGGGTGGGGGGTGGGGCAGATGCAATAGTTTATCCCTCACTTTAGTAGGAATGTTGACATGCCCCACACCACTGGATCCCTAGAAATATTACTGAGGTGGAGGGTGCCTGAATCTTAGTTGGGCTGATTTCCCAACCTCTTTCACACAGATGTTGTCCCAACGAATCTAGAGTCTGATACATTCTCCTTAGTGGGTCCAATCAGCATAATGTCATCAATATAATGGACAAGTGTGACATTTTGTGGAAGAGACAGATGATCAAGGTCCCTTTGGACTAAATTATGGCACAGGGCGGAAGAGTTCTTGTACCCCTGGAGGAGAAGTGTGCAAATGTATTGTTGCCCCTGCTAGCTGAAGGCAAACTGCTTCTGGTAGTTCTTTGAGACTGGTTTTGAAAAAGGCATTGGCCAGATCAATAGCTGCATACTAAGTATCAGGAGAAGTATTAATTTGCTCAAGCAATGAAATCACATCTGGAACAGCTGGTGGACTGCTCGGTCCAAGGTCAAGGAAGCAGACTGCAGAGTCCTCCCGGGGCCAGGCAAGCAGAGTCTACCCACAGGCAACAAGCAACAGGGTGGATCACCAAGTCAGTAGCTTGGTAGCTTAATGAAGCAGGCTGGGATGGGAGCAAGCAATGCAAGGCAACAGAAATTTATGTACCAGCAGTGTAGCGAAGCATGTCTCTAAGGAGCCTCAAGCTGTAGCAACAGGGTCCACAGGCTGGCCTGGCCCACAGGTAGTGTAGCTCACAGGTTGAGGCAGAGAACTAGCTACCACAGCAGCAGCACCAACGCTCCAGCACGCTCCAATTACCAGAGAGCAAGAGAGAGGGGGGCGGGCCTTGCCAAGTCATTTCTCTTTGCCCTCCAATCAAATGGTGAACTGATTAATCCTATATGTTCTTATTGGCCAGATTGGCACAATAAACCTAATTATCGCATCCATCTAGTTAAATGCTTTTCTAGCTGGTCAAACATCAATTTCTTTTGAACATGGAGTGATTTTTCCCATAGAATAGTACAGTGGGCGCTCTCTCTCTCTCTATGTATATATATATACACACATACATATATGTGTGTATAGCTGTATACGTGTGTGTATGTGTATATATGGCTTTTCTGGCTCTAAGTTTGTAATTCGCTATGCTACATTCTTGGAAAGGGATTGGACAGTTTACTATGCAAGTAAACCCCTTATAGGGATTTGGACAGTTAACTAGGCGGATAAGGTATCCAGCCTACCGAGGGATAGGTCAGTGTGGTATTAGTGGGAAAAGTAAGCCAATAAAAGGGCTAGTCAGTCACAGAGGTTGGTGAGAACCTTACTACCGTCAAATAGAAGAACCTGGACCAGAGTGCCTCCTTTGGACCAGCTAACACTGCAAGTGAGTCAGCGGCATGAGGCTACCGTGAACTTACTGACCCAGAAAGCATGACACTTGAACCCCTTTGGGTAGAACACTTGCTGGCAGAGTACCGCTTGTCACTTAATGGCAGTACTGACAGATCGGGAACACTTCCCAAGCCAAGCGGAAACTAGACCTCATTGAGGCCTGGCCATAGAAGGCCAGCAAGAGGCCCCAAGCCAAAGCCGTCTGACTGGGAAGATAGTCCAGAGGCGGAGAGAGGAGAAACCAGACGATTGAGGGTCAGGCTGAAAACCTGAGCCCCACCCAGAAACTTTGGAGCAGGAAATTTGCTTCTGAAAGATGTGGAGATCTGCCCAGAACTTCTTCGAGATACGAAGAAAAAAAGAAAGGATGAACTGTGGGCAAGCTGTTTGCCGTTGGGTACTTCAAGGCAGGAAATGCCAGTGCCCAGTTAAAGAGCCCTTTTCCGGGACTGGAAGATAAAGGGAACCAGTGACCTTATAGCCAGGTATACCAGGTTGAAGTGCCCACTTGGGTACCCGAGTCAATGTGGCGGAGGTGTGGTAATGAGGAGATGGGCTTTAGTTTTGACCTGTTCCTTTGGCACCTGTTGACTTCCCCGCAGGTGGCTAGGGAGAGAGAGGAAGGGGCTAATGGGTCTACAGTGGAGACAGTGTGGGGATTCCTCAGCAGACACTGGAATCCTATTGACTTAGGATTCCACAGGGGTTAGGGATGAACTGACCAGCCCCAGCCAAATGGGGAAGGAAAAGATGTTTGGCACTACGATTTGTCAGTTTGCTGGCTTACTCTAGACTGGATGTTCTTATGAATCTAGATCATCAGAATTCTAACCAGAGTAGAAGATTCTTCAGATAAGGATCATGCCTGTCTTCAGAGAGTATTGATGTGCAAAGGGATGACTAATTTAAGTAGGAAGGGAAACCATGAGGTGGCCGGCTTCCACATTTTGTAAGTGTGCTTACTAAAGGAGGATGCCTCATTTTCTTATGGGTCTTGGTGGTGGTGGTGGGGGGGGGAGTGTTGATATGACTATACTATTTAGCTGTGAGGATTGATTGATAATCAGAGGCCATGGTGATTATAAAAAACTAAGTTTAGAAGCTGTGACTGAGAGAGTGGACTAACAGGAGGCACTGCTGGATGAGAGTACAGTGGCCACACCTAAATTCTTGAAAGGTTTGCTCTGGTAGAATGACCTTTCCATTTAAATTTTATCAGAGGGCAGAAAAGGCAGAAAGGGATGACTTCTAGAGACCCTGTCCAGAAGGAGCTCTGGTGACATAGTGGTCACACATTGGGCTGCAATCTGCCAGGCCAACAGTTCAAAACTACCCGCCACCCCTTGGGAGAAAGACGAGGCATTTGAGTCCCATTCACAATTACAGTCTCAGAGGCTCACAGGGGCAGTTCTACCCCGCCCTATAGAGTTGCTATGAGTCAATGGCTGTTGAAGGTGGGTTTTGGTTCAGATGAGATGGATACTTGCAGCAGGCCCCGAGTAACCTCCGCCTGAGGAGTTCTTACCCTACTAAAGGGCAAAGATCTCACCACTCGAGCAATGAGCAGATAATATGGAGGTTGTCATGGGCCTCATTTCACTCGAATCTCTAGTCAACACCCATGGAAGCAGCGGTCCAGAAGTCAAATAACCTAATGCCTCGGGCAGTTCTAGTGACGACTATGAAGTACACTGCGGCCTGCCACAAGAGTGAACAAGTCTGTCGTGGAAGAAGTATGGCCCAAATGCTTCTTAGAAGCAACGGGGGTCAGGGCAAGATATGACAAAATAACAATTTATAAAGTATCAAGGGCTCGTGAAGGAAAGGGGAGCGGGGAGGGAGGGAAAAATGAGGACCTAATGCCGGGGGTTTAAGTGGAGAGAAAATGTTTTGAGAATGATTAGGGCAATGAATGTACAAATGCGCTTTACACAGTTGATGTGTGTATGGATTGTGATAAGAGTTGTATGAGCCCCTAATAAAATGATTAAAAAAAAAAAAAAGAAGCAACAGGGGTCTCACGTATTTTGGACATGTTTTAAAGAGGGACTAACCACTGACGATGAGCATGTTTGGTCAGCAAAGAGGAGGAAGCCCCTCGATGCACTGTGGTGCTCAAATAGAGAAATGCTGTGAGAATGGCACCGCGCCAGGCAGGGTTTCCTTCCGTTGTACAGGTTAATATGAGCCCAGACCACCTTAATGGCACCTAGCAACCACAAAGGACCAATTGTTAATGACCGATTTGGACTGGTAAAAATATACAGGAAGAAGAAGGTAGCCCTTAACATTTTAAGTATGTTTAAAAACGAGCCCCGGGGGTGTACTGGGAGAAGGATGAGCTGCTTGCTACAGGGTCAGTGGTTTGAACCCACCAGCAACTGCGGGTGAAAAATGAAGCTATCTTTACTTGGGAACCAGAGGGGCGAGTCTAGCCTGTTTTATAGGGTTGCTATGAGTCAGAATCGACTCGGTGGCAGTGAGGCTTTTTGTTTTGTTTGGATTTAAGAACCCATGGCCTAAAGGGGCCCAGGGATGTTCAGAATTGGTCAAAAGATTGGAGAGTGGAGGTATAGCTGACGTTCATCACATAGAAATTAGCTTTGGGCTGATGACACTTCTCATTTCCCTCATGAAATAGGCCGCTCCCCACCCGACTGCATCACACATGCCTTGTGTCTCCCTGCTTTCTTCTGGTCTAAGCCTACTGCAGAGCTTTTCCAGAGTTCCCTGTGGCTGTTTTCCTGGGATTTTCCTGCACTTTCACCACTTTCTGGTGTGACTTGTTTTTCTCCTTTTACTTGGTGTTCGCCCTTGTGTTGGGGAAACACACTCTCCAGTAGTTTCCTAAGAAACAGTGCTTGAGTCCTTGCATGTCTCAACCCTCACAATAGAAGGAGTTACAGAATTTTAGGTCAGATTTTTTTCATTAGAATATTGAGGAATAATTCTTAATGTCTTCTTGCTTTGAGTGCTGGTCTTGAGAACTCCCTGGCCTGTTTGACACCTGGCGCATTTTAAATGACCAAGGCTCCTCTCCCTGGAAGTTTTTAGGGTCTCTTCATTTTCTTATTCTGAAATGTTGGATATTTTGAAGACAGAGACGGGTGGGGGTAGAAGAGGCTTCATCTGTTGGTGATTTACTGTGTGTAGTATTGTGCTGGATGTTTGTAGACACGATTTCATTTAATCAGGTGATTCCTCTGAGTGGGATTTGTACCTCCCCAGGCCTATTTGGATAATGGATGTGTGCCTTTGTACACAAGCAGTTTTGCCTGGCAGAAACAGAACGACAGAGAAGCCAACTGGTTCATTCAAGCGAATTTCTTCCTAATCCTCCACATGCTTCCCAGACATTTAGCTACACTCCGTATGTCCACTATTTGTCACTCCCTCTGCCTTCATTTGCTCTTCTCTCTCTCCTTCACAAAAGCATTTCCTTTTTATTAATCAAGCAATATACTTGGTTGTTATTCCAGGAGTCAGTGATGTTCAGTGATGTGTCCATAGACTTCTCTCAGGAAGAGTGGGAGTGCCTGAATGATGATCAGAGAGATTTGTACAGAGATGTGATGTTGGAGAATTATAGTAACCTGGTTTCAATGGGTAAGGATGCTTGTCCACAATAATTGCGATTCCACCCTCGGAAGGTCTGCTTTCATCAATATGCAATGTTAAGCTACCTCTCACGTTACCAGTCGGATTCCTGCTTCCTGTTCCCAGAGGGATGCTTTGAATACTGTAGTTAGAAAAGAGGAACTGCATTCCATTATGGGGTATGTTCTGAACCTCCTGTTTCTCATAATCAAATACTCTGATTTTTCCTGTAGTGTCGTGTGTTTCTTGGGAATGTGGGGTCTGGATTTGAATCCTGGGACATTCTTAGCATACATTTGGTTCATTCATTTTTTTTTTTTTTTAAGCAGGATATTCCATTTCTAAACCAGATCTTATCTCCCTCTTGGAGCAGGGGAAGGAGCCCTTGCTGGTTGACAGAGAGGTGACAAGAGGCCAGTGGCCAGGTAAGTGAAGCACAGCAGTGGATAGAATGAACGTATCTGAGCTGTAACTGAGATAAGAAGCTCCCCTCAAAATCCTGAAACCCTTGTAAGTAGAAATAAAACCTTTTCTATAGGAGCTTTCAGATTATATTACTTAATGTCCTGCCTGCTGTTCCCCTCTAGTAGTACTTGCCTGAAGCCTACACTGCATCTTCTCCAATGGTAACCCACTTGTGCCTATTCTGGATCCATTTCTGTCTCAGCGTCGGTGTCAGACCGGGTTGACTAGAGAAACAAATCCAGAGACCCTCATCTATGTAGAAGGAAGAGCTTTATATCAAGGAGTAATTATATATCAAGAAAAGATCCCAGCCTGGTCCAACTCAAGACCATAAGTCCAATAACATCCCATAAGTCCTGCAGTCACATGCAGTGATGTAGAATGCATGAATTTCACAGGCCAGTGTGGAGCCAAAGTTGGTGCAGAACATGGCAGGGCTCCGGCAGCTCTCCTGCTCAGAAAACACGAAGGTGAAGGCAGAGAGAGAGAGGCTGGCCTCCAGAGATGTTGCTTGTACCTCCAAGTGAAGTCATCAGGCTGTGACCTGATTGACAGGCTAACCTCCACCCTACACTTTTATATATCTTCAAATTGACATGAAATCATGTAACTGCCACAGCTTTTCATCCTCTTGTATTTATTTTTCTTATTATTTTTTTCCTCTTGTATTTATTCATAAAAAAGCATCACTGCCCTTTTTTTCTTTTAACCTAGCACTGTTTTTTCAAATATGTATTTCCCCCCTACATTGCCAAGTACTACTTATCTTTACTTAGATTTTTTAGATATAGTAATTCATGCATTCATTGACTATTTCATCATTTCAATCAATATTTATGAGTTTCTTGATGTGTTTGAGGTCTGCTAGGTGCTATGGAGATTTCAAAAGGAATAAACAATGTCAGAACTTGTAGTCTCATAGAGGTACTAAAACATGTCTATTAATAACTTTGTACAAAGTAGAATCCCCATGAAAGTTTAAAATAAGGAGGTCAACAGAAAGTGAGGCTAACAGTGTAGAAGAGGAGTTGATCCACAGTGAAATGATGGCAGATATGGCCGTAGATATCACTGCCGTTAGGGAGGATGCTGGAAATAAAGGGTCTGTGCCTTCATTGAGAAGTTAGAGCTGGCAGAGATAGAGTGCATTCATTCATTGCTTGAGTACATGTTTATTGAGCACCTATTGTGTGCCATGCAGTATTCTCAGTGCATAGATTACCCTTTTGAATAAAATATTCAAAATCTGTGTCCAAGAGCGTACCTTCCAGTGGGAGCCGATATAAGCAGCTAATCGAATAATTAACACATATTCAGGAAACCAAACCAAACTCCCTGCCATACAGCTGATTCAGACTCAGCAACCCTATTGGACACAGGAGAACTGCCCCTGTGGGTTTCCAAGACTATTACTCTCCGTGGGAGTAGAAAGCCTCCTCTTTCTCCCTCAGAGTGGCTGGGTCCAAACTGCTGATCTTGCAGTTCGCAGCCCAACTTGTAACCACTACACCACCAGGGGCACCTAATGTATTCCTTAGTAAGTGCCAAAAAGACAAATGAAGTGTTGTTGAAAGCGCAACATGAGTACTATTTTATGTGAGGCAACTAGAGAACTTTCCAATAAGATAACATTTGAGCAGAGACTTGAAGACATGCACAATAAGTCGTATCATATGTTCATCACTGGGAAGAGGTGCATTGCAAACAGAAAAACAAACTCGGAAGGGTCCTGTGGTATGGACCAGTGCCTGGGAATAGAATGAGAGTGACGAGAGAGGCAATCACAGAAAAAGAAGTAGGAAAGGAGGCATCCGTGTTTGTGCTGCCACATGGAACACAGTAAATCTCCATTGTACAAATGACACATTTCGTAATGTTGGTTTCAGTTCCTTCAGTGTATCAGCACCTCTTCCTACTTCCTCCCTGGGCTTTTTTCCCTTTACATTCACCCTTTCCTGCCATGCCATCCCTTCTGAACTTGGTGGTTAAGCACATGTTCCCCTTTTAGTCTTGTATGATTGACCTAAAAAGCCTGTGACTCCACGGGGGTGGTGTCCACTTTATAGATCTATTATTTGGCTGAAAGTTGGTCCCCAGTGGTAGACTCCGTCCTAGGCTTGAAGGATGTCTAAGGGTCACAGTCTCAAGGAGTTCTCCAATCTAGGAGATCAACAAATCTGGGATTCTCTGATTTTGGATTTTGTTTGACTTTCCCCACCCCGATCTCTTTCTCTGCCTAGGTCCTTTTGTTCTGGACGGTATCTGTAGGTAGTGGTACCCAGGCACCATCCGGTGCTCTGGTCGCAGTGTGGTGGAGGCTGCGGTTTGCATGGCTCCTAGTTTGTGGGACCAGTAGTTTCCCTGAGGCTTTTATTTTCTTTACTCTTCTTCTTAGATGGCTACTCAAAAGCTTTCAGGGCTCCAGTCGCTACTCATCAGAGGAGGACGGAGAGAGAGAGAGAGAGAGAGGTTGGTGTTATGTATAAGGAAGACTGGAGAAGAATTAATGCATTTGAGTTATGGTGTTGATGAATACTGAATACAATATGGGTTGTTAAAAGAATGAACAAATGTATCTTGGAAGAAGTACAGCCAGAATGTTCCTTAGAAGCAGGGATGGTGAGACACCGTCTCACATACTTTGGGCGTGTTATCAGAAGGTATCATTCCAGTCTCTGGAGGACACCATGTTTGTTAATTAGAGAATCGGGAAAAGAGGAAGCTCTTCAAAGAGATGGATGGACACGGCGACTGTGCCACTGAGCGTAAACAGCATCGAATGATTGCGCGATGTTCATTCTGTTGTAGATAGGGTTGCTGAGGTGGAACGAACTCAATGGCACATAACACCCCATAAAGACACATAATATGGCTTTTATATCTTGCTATTCTAACTCTGAATCCTTTTCCTGACATGTTTTTTCTCTTGCCTTTGCCTTACCTTTGTTAGTCTGGGAATATGATTTTAAATTAGTTTTCTTTTTTCGATTGTCTCCTCTTAATTACTGAATGATCAGCTGAAATATACCCATCAGAGAAAGACCATATGATGTGGGTTATTCCTTACTTAACTCAGAATGTTATTCCATATTAATAAGTATTGACTACTAGTGTCAAAGGAACTCTGGTAGTGCATTGATTAGGCTTGACTTCTAACCGAGAGACTGGTTCTGTAAAGATTACGTGCAGGCTTGGCAACCCTATGGGGCAGTTAGTTATATTTTATCAGTAGAGGTGCTATGAATCAGAATAGACTCAAGTTGTACCTCCCCACCTGATTCCTGACAAGACAGTTTCAAATTTTCTAGCTATTCTTGTTCTGTATATTTTCTCAATGATTACCTTTTACTGGGAAATTTGAGGATTTAGTCTCTGGTCCTTTTCCTTGAGTTTTAATTATATTTGATAAATTATTCAATTCACTTAGGATGTAAGTGATTTTCATTGCTGAGCCCTATTTCCCCGAGCCACATTCACGCTTGACCCCTTTTGGCATTCTGGCTTAGGGTGAGGCTTTCTTCTCCTGCAGAGAGTTACAGTTTTGGAAAACCCGCAGTTGCATTTTCACTCTGCCCTGCGGAGTCACCTTGAGTCTGAACGGACTGGGCGGGGTGACTTTTGGTTTTTCTTAGGAAGCGATAACAGTTTCAAGAGCTATTTAGGATCAAGACGAGGCAAGATTTGCTGGATGATTGTATGGGCACAGGAGGAAGAAGATGTTATACTAGAATAATATTTTTTTTTACCACTTTGTTGTAAACTCTCTTCTCTGCGTCTGTAGTATGTTTGTTCTTCAAACCACTTCACTTGCCAAATGTTCCCATCTTTGTAAAGATGTTCTTCCATATTATTAACTAACAAATGTCAAACATTTGTTTTATACCAAGTAATTTACAAATATTTCCAATCCTTCCAAGAAACATAAGAGTTAGCTTTTATTCCGATTGTAGAAGCAGAAATCTGGGACTCAGAAAGTTGAACTTGTTTTTTCCAGGATAATTAAACTTTTTCACTATCTGAGTTTAAAGCAGTTTGCAAACTAAATCTACTTCTTCTGAACTTTCCCATTATACTGCTTCCCATTTTAATCTCATGCCTCTCTTTAAACCATTGCTTCCTAAAGTGGCCCCTATTGTCCCTTATGGAGCACTAGAATGATCCAAGGTGACTACAAAAGCAGAAACCTACACTGTTTTCTGGATTATGAGCTATAATATGGAAGGCTTCAATTGCCAGGGGGCTACTGAGGGTTTTTGTTTTGTTCTTTTTCTGAGAAGGGGGCAATAGGCCAAATAAGTTTAGGAACCTATGTTTTAAACCCATAAATGTCTTTTCTGCCAGTTGGTTAGTCACTTGTGCACTTGAATTGAGCCCCCTCCTCTCCTTGCTTACGGTCAACATGATAGAATCCCAAGGCAAACTGTATTTGTATCAAACCACAACCATTCAAGGGTACTTCAAAAAGTTCCTAGAAAAATGGAATTAAAAGATAATGGGACTTTTGAAGCACTCGGGTCTATTGTATATGTGAAAGAATCTTCACTATCACTCGTGCGATAATTATTCAACAGAATCTCGACAACTGTTAATTCACTAGGACTTTCAGTGATGACAGAAATCTTCGGTATTTGTCGTTTCCAATATGGTAGCCACTGACCACCTGTGGATATTAGACACTGGATAATATAAATAAGGAATCGAATTTTAAATTTTAATTATTTTTAATTATGTTCATTTAAAATGTTTAAATTGCCACATATAGCTAGTAGCTACTGTAGTAAACCAATATATATTTCAGAGAGATCTATAAACTTTTTCTTGAAAGGGTCAGATCAGGCTTTTATGCTAGGTAGTCACTGTCAACCTACTCAAATGAAACTCAAAAGCAGCCACAAAAAAACATAAATGAATGAATATAGTTTCCTTTGAATAAAACGTTAACTACAAAAACAAGCACAAGACCATATACTGTAGTTTCCCAACCTCTGGAACTCTTAGGTACAATTTTGTAATCTTGATAACGCTATTAGTATGTTAATTTCCCTTATTTTATACTTTGATGTATGAAGTTGTATGTGAGTATGCTGTGGGATGACTATATTTACCTAGAGGCATCCTTGTTATAGATTGTGTGAACTTAGCAAGTTCCCCTAATGTATTCTGATCTCTAGCAATGTTTGGGACTCAATGATTACTTCGTACCCCTCATCACTACCCTATTGTTACAATGTGATCTGTTCTCTCTTACCTTTTTTCCTCATATACTCATTTTAAATTCCGTTTGTTCTCTCATTTTTATTAAAGCTTATTTCTCTCAGAACAAAAGAGAAATGTGAGTGATTACTTTCATATTTTCTTTCAGTCCTGGAACCAAAATGTGAAACCAAGACATTCGTTCTGAAGAAGGAACCCTTTGAAGTAGAACCATCACACTGGGCGGTCTTGCAAAGGCTCAGAAGATACGATCTTCAGTGCTCCAGGTTCAGAGATGATTTGGAAAGTAACAGCCACTTTGAGAAACAACATGACTCTCAGGAGAGCCATTTAGATCAACTGATGTTTATGCAGGAAAACATGCCCACTTTTGGTCAGCATCCATCCTTTGCATTACAGCAAATCATTAATAATAAAGAGAGATGCTATGAAACTAAGGAATATGGGAAAACCTTTAGACTTGGCTCACAACTTACACATCAGATAATTCATACCGCTGAGAAACCCTATGATTGTAAGGAATGTGGGAAAGCCTTTAGACATCTATCAAGGCTGGCTCATCATCAAAAAATACATACCGGCAAGAAACCTTTTGAATGTACAGAATGTGGAAAAACCTTTATTTGTGGCTCAGACCTTACTCGACATCACAGAATTCACACTGGTGAGAAACCCTATGAATGTAAAGACTGTGGCAAGGCCTTTAGCAGTGGCTCAAACTTTACTCGACATCAGAGAATTCATACTGGTGAGAAGCCCTATGTATGTAAGGACTGTGGGAAGGCTTTTAGCAGTGGCTCAAACTTTACTCAACATCAAAGAATTCATACTGGAGAGAAACCCTATGAATGTAAGGAATGTGGAAATGCCTTTAGTCAGAGCTCACAACTTATTAAACATCAGAGAATCCATACAGGTGAGAAACCCTATGAATGTAAACAATGTGAAAAGGCTTTTCGTTCTGGTTCAGACTTAACTCGACACCAGAGAATTCATACTGGTGAGAAACCTTATGAATGCAAGATATGTGGAAAGGCTTATTCTCAGAGCTCACAACTTATTAGTCATCATAGAATTCATATTGGTGAGAAACCCTATGAATATAGACAATGTGGAAAGACTTTTAACTGTGGCTCCCAACATATTAAACATCAAAATTTATACTGGTGACACACTAAGACATAAAATATATATGAAGGAGAAAATGCTGTTTGCCTGTTGGAATTCTACAGTATTGGCAGTAAACAGGCCATGGGAACTACATTTACTGTCCTCTTAAGAAAATGACCATCCTGGGAGTAGCTTGGTGATCAGCACCAATGTTGGCAGGAAAACAAGAAGCAAGGCCTTCTAGGTTACAAGGGGGTGGAGCCACATCATCTGGATCCCAAAGGGTAGGGCCATAGCATCCTAGGTTTCAAAAGTCAAATATTTGCCGCCAACTTGGTTCCAGAGTGGGAGGCTGCTCTTAAGATTTGCAAGGGAGATGGGGCTACTGCCCAAAGCTGAAAGGGGCAGCACTAGCATGCCCAAGGGGTAGCAAAACAGGGCGAGGAGGTGGGGTTGCCTCTCAGATGAAGTAGGAGTTTAGGGCCACCCAAAGCCAAGATAGCAGAGTTCACACCCAGAGCTCTTAGAAGATGGAGCTGAAGCCCTGGACTGAGAAGGCAACACCCAGAGGTTGGAGACCGGGAGGAACCATTGCCCAGATGGTCTCCGGGATGATTATGTTCAGCATTAAGAGCTAATGGAAATTCCCTCCCTCCGATTGCTCTCATTTATAATGGAAACGTGTACCTTTGACCTGTTCACCACGGTACTCTGGAAACAGGTAGCCTGCACTCTAGATATCACAGGTTCCCAGATGAAGAGTAGCTTTGCTCTAGGATGAAATATACCCCAAATCTCTACCCATATTTAATTTAGATGGTTTTGAAGATGAGATTTGAGACTTATGAGTTGATTTAAGATTTGGGAGGTGATGTGATAGGGTGCTGGTACAATTGGGTAAGCGTTGGACACTAAATGGCAAGATCATTGGTTCAAAATCCCCTGCTGCTCCACAGAAGTCGGGGCTGTTACCTGTCGAGGTTTATAGCTTCAGAAACCCTATATAAGGTTGCTCTGGGTTGGAGTCAACTCAATAGCAGTGGGTCTGGTTAGGTTTTCTAGCGATAGGGTGAACGTGTTTTGCATGTTGGAAGGGTATGAATTTTGGGAGAATGAAAGGTGGAATGCTACTGATTGAATTGTGTCCCCAAAATGTATTTTAAGTCTTAACTTCTATGCCGGTGATGAATGGGCTGTCTTTGCTATGTTAATGGGACAATTAAAATGAGCAAATAAATGAGTGAAGCCAGGATGGGATAAGGTAGATGCCAATGCCAGAGATGTCTCCAAGGCAGCAGAGGGGGAAAAGACCAAGGACCTTTCTCCAGAGTCAACAGAGAAAGTAAACCTGCCTCTGGAGCTGGCTCTCTGACTTCAGACTTAAAGCCTCCTAAGCTATGAGAAAATAAATTTATTTTGTTAAACCCACTCACTTGTATTTTTTTTTTTTTGGTTATAGCATCATTAGATAACTAAAACAGAGGGCTTTTAATTACAGCCCAAAATCATATCTAGCATCAAAGAATCAATCTTGATAGTAATCCTAAATAGAATAACTTAGAAATATTTGTTTATTTAGCATGGGGAATTTAAGAAAGAAACATCCTCTGGCTACAGTGCATTTTAGAAATCTTCATAAAAGCTCATGTTTTATTGACTTCAGGTAATTTAAACTATGTAAAGCATTGCAAATGAATGTACCTTTGACTTTTCTAACTTCATCTTTAAAAAAAACCTTATTGTGAATTAGGGAGGGGCTTACATTTCAGATAATCAATTTTGTATTCAACCGTTTTTCATCTTATGCATATGTTCACGCTGAAATGCAATCCTATGAATTTCATTTTTCCTTTATCTCTTTGGTTCTTCATTTTCACCTTTTTAAGGGAATTAAAGTGAATTTTTCTAAGTAAATCTTAGATTTACTTGAATCTACATTTTATAAGTTTTATATCATGGATTTAAAAAAAACCTTTATTTTTTAAGATACTTTAATCTGAAACAAATGACCTTATTTGAAGATGGCTTATTCTTTTTGATTTTTATAAAATGAAAGCCATCTTATTGCCAAAGCATTTGTTTTCCACTCTGTGAATAGAAGAGTTTTTGGATGTTTTCTTGTGTTTGCTGTAGTATCACCATACCTGTTTCCTGTTGTTGAACATTGGTGGTTTCCTTACACACAGTAGTACATTAGACTCAACTTGGTTATCTGTGTAACCCAGGGCTTACATTTCATTTCCTGGAAGTATGAACATTAACAAACATTTTACTCAGAACTTTTTAGATGATAGTAGTGCGATCTCTCTCCACCTCTAAGAAAAACCTCACTGCTGTCAAGTCATTTAGCAAAGGAAAGGCAAAACGAATCAATCCCCTTGTTAAGGTCCATAGCCCTTATTACAGTCTCACCCTCCAAGGATGCCATGCACCTTATTTACAGTATTAGCAAGTTATCCAATCCCTTTGGCGAACTACAGCACCTCACATTGACAGACTATACTAGAAAGACCATACTGTAATTGACAACACTGCAGGCACTGACCCTCTCATACCTAAAGGATTAACTTTCTCTTCCCAATCATTTTAACTGTAAGCACACTCATAAACCTTGAAAGCCAACCCCATTTTAGATACCCACTTTGAAATTGTCAGTCCCTAACACACCAGTACTCTGAAGAGCCAAGTATTTCCTAATTATCTTTATAAATAAATATATTAAATTATCAGCAATTTGGTGTTATCTCTCTAGAGAACCCTGTCTAACACACCAAGATCCCTACACATTGGCTCTCTAATTTCTAGTTCTAGAAAAGGTTTTTTCTAATGAGCCCGGACTTTTCCTGTTTTCAAGTATCCAATGACAAACCACTTGCTCAAACTCAAATGTTCAAAAAGCTAGTCTTGCCTAGACCTGCTCTGCCTCCAGAATTAGATATTTAACTGCCGTATTGGTTACATATGCGCATTCAATAGATTGTAACATGACAGATAATATTGGGAAGGATGGGGATTCCAGAACACGTAGTTGTGCACATCTACTAAAAGTCAGTCATTTGAACAGAACAAGGGGACACTTTATGATTTAAAATCAGGAAAGATAAGCTTAAGGGTTAGATCTTTTCACCATATTCGTGCTGAGAAAATTCAAGAAACGACTATATGAAGAATATGGTAGGGTTGCAGAAAGAGCCATTAGCAGCCTACAATATGCAAATGTCAAAATCTTGTTTATGGAAAGCAAAAAGGACTTCAAACACTGATGATGACCAAAAGCCATAATCTTCAGTACAGAATACAAAGAAAACAAAAACTCTCACAACTGGACCAAAAGCAACATCATGGTAAATGGAAGAAATAATTGAAGTCAAGGATTCCGTTTTATTGGATTCAAAATAACCCACAGAGGCATCAGTCTAGAAACCAAATACTATATTGTAGATCTGGGCTAATCTGTGGCAAAGCACCTCTTTAAAGTGCTAAAAAGCAAAAATTCACTTTAAGGACTAAGGTTTGCCAGGATCCAAATCATGGTATTTTTTAATTGGCTCATATGCATGTGTTGATGAATAAGAAGACTGAAGAGGAATGAAAATTTTGAAATATGTTGATGAGAATATTAAATATACCACGAACTGCCAGAATAACAAACAAATCTGCCTTTGATGAATTGCTGACCAAATGCTCCTTAGAAACATGGATTGTGAGACCTAGTCTAACATACTGTAGACATGTAATAAGGAGAGACCAGTTCCTAGAGACAGGCATTGTGCTGGATGAAGTAGAGCAGTGGTTCTCAACCTGTGCGTTGTGACCCCTTTGGGAGTCAAACAACCTTTCACAGAGGTCACTTGATTCATAACAGTAGCAAAATTACAGTTATGAAGTAGCAACAAAACTAATTTTATGGTTGGGGGGGCCACCACCACATGAGGAACTATTAAAGGGTCGTGACATTCGGAAGGTTGAGAACCACTGAAGTAGAGGGGCAGAGACAGTGGCTGCACCAATGTAATCAAACATAGCAACAATGGTGCAGATGGCACAGGACTGGGCAGTTTCATTCTGTTGTACACAAGGCTACTATGTGTGTTAGGCCAGATTAACTAGACAAATTTATCGACACTGATAATATGTGTAAGAAAGAGCTTTATATCAAGAAAACATCCCAGCCCAATCCAAATCAAGTCCCTAAGTTCAATACTAGTCCATAAATCCCTCTCAGACTCACACAACTATAGGCAATGATGGAGAATGCAGGAAGATTACAGGCCAGTGGCTGCAGAGTCACAATGGCGGCGGTACCCTCACAAGGCTCTGGCAGGTCTTAGCTGCCTGGCTCACCAACAAGAAGGTGAAGTGAGAAAGTTCCAGGCTCCTCCTTGTGAGAAGGCCATTCCCACCAAGAGGTATTGTCAGGTCACCCTTTCACTCCACCCTTTCACTTCTATATCAAGTTGACATGGCCTTATGTAACTACCACACTACAAGTAAACACAACAATAAACAATGATCTCTTAGGAAGTAAGGACAAAGACCAAATGCTCTAGGAGATACATTTTTTTACCCTCTAATGCAAATTCTTAGAGGTTTGGAAGAGAATGTTTTGGCCTGCCAACCCTGATGGACAGTTTACTCAGAAGTAACCTGCTCATGGCAGCAATGTTGGTGAGGTTTTAGTCTAGATCTGAGAAGTAACTGCAGCAAACAACTCTTCCAACCACAAGGCCTAGGTGAGCATATTAGTAACACATCTGAGGAAAAATTAAACCTCATCTGCTCCATTGATACTTAGCTTTGGAAAAGCTATTTGCTAGGCACCAAGTTGTATAACTAGCTCACCAGTTGTATAATAGGAAGCAGGTTGAATTTGGCTTACAGGTTTGTGTTAGACAGGGTTCTCTAGAGAGATAAAACCAAATTGCTGATAATTTAATATATTTATTTATAAAGATAATTAGATATATAACAAGGAATGAACTGTTAAATCATATTCAGTTAAATATATAATACAAGAAAGAAACAGTTAAATTATAAAGCACTACAAATGGCTCAATTCAACTCACTGCGTGAGAGAGATATGAGAGACTAGCAGTCCTTCCAGTCCAGTCTGCTGCCAGATCTTCCCTATTTATAGAGAGAGCTAGACTATGTCAGCACAGCAGCCAATCAGAAGGCAGGTCACCAACTGCCAGTCCCCAGCTTCAGCGATGTCTTAAAGGGACCTCAACTGGTGCCCAACACGACCGCTCATTTCACTTGGAAGCCCGCTGGAGACTGGGCTCGCGGCAGACAGGTTGCGCCTGCGCACTCGGCGCGGCCGGCGCTCCCGGCGTGCCCCGCGGCCCCCTGGGCCTCTGGGACGCGTCCGCTGGCCGCCAGGCCGCGGCGCCCGGGTTCCGCCGCCGCCACGTGACTACCAGGCCGCCCAGGTGAGCGCCGCTGGCGGCCCGCGGGGCCGGCGTCGGGGGGAGGGCGGCTGCAGGGCGGCAGGCGTGGGAGCTGCGCGCCGCGGGCCGGAGGACGGGGTGTGACCACGCCCGTGTGCTGGTGGGCGTGCCCGCGCCGGAGTGTCCGAGTGCGATGCCTATGGGCGTGAGTCCCGGGCTGGTGCGGGGCGGCGGCGGCGCGCGTGCCGAAGTCCACGCAGCCTTGTGGGTGAGCCCTGGGGTCCTGGGCCGTGGGATGTCCACCTCTGACCTCGGCATCACGGCAGCCAGGCTTTCTGTCCTCTCGCCACCGGGCGTCCGGCTGCGGAGAGGACAGGACCCCAGAGTTGACTGAGGGAAGACTCCTTCCTTAGGTCAGTGGTTCTCAACCTCCCTCATGCCGCCACCCTTTCATTCAGCCCCTCGCGGGGGTGACCCCCCAGCCATCAAATTCGTTTCGTTGCTACGTCATCACTGTCATTTTGCTGCTGAAAGGGTCGTTCTACCCCCACCCCATGTGAAAGGGCCTCGACCCACAGGTTGAGAACCGCTACCTTAAGACGATAGAATCCTGAAAATGCCTCTGCTGGGTGGCTTCTGAAAGGACTCCCAGTTTCCTCAGGGTGTTTATTTGCCTGTGGTGATTGGTGGGGGCAGTTGTGGTTGTGGGTTGAGTCCTGATTTCAACCAAGCTAGACCGGGATCCCAGAAAGGTCTCCAACTCCTAGCGATTCTACAGAACAGAGTACAACTGCCCCCCACAGGGCTCCCATGGCTGTTCATCTTTAGGCAGAGAAGCAAACTGCCGCATCTTTCTCTTGCCTAGTGACTGGTGGGTTCAAACCGCCTACCTTTTCATTAGCAAGCCAATCCCTTAACCACTGAACCGCCGGGACTCTTTCATCTTGCCCATTCCTGCCGAATTCTAAGAAAATGCCCCCGAGGAGAGTTATACTCCGGAGCAATCCTGAGGATAAAGTTCATGTGTAGAACATCTGTATTTGCCTCATGGAAGTTTTCAATAAATGTGGGTCAGTGTCTGATAGCACAGGGACATGAGTCCAGTCCTTTAAAGTAGATTGTACCACAGAAGAAAATGACCAGTGACATCCCGGAGGAAAACCACGGGAGTGATTCTGATGAGAAATACGGTGGTAATCCCAGAGCCTCCGTACATTTTCCTAGCTGGGTGGTCAGCCAGACTACTGATTTACATGAAATTTAGGAAAGGGGGAGCAGTCTCCTAAAGGCGCAACCAGCAAAGAATAACTGGCCATGCTCATAAAGGAAAGGATCCTTCCTAATAAATCAGGCACATATTAGAAGGCTATGAGAAAAAACATTGGCAGTACAGGATCCAAAGCAAGGGCATGTGCACATGCACCCTTGGGCACTCGCAGTAAGAGCCTGCAACCCTCCACGACACCCGTGCTTGAGCACTTCCACTAAGACTCCACCAGTATACACAACCACACCCTGCAAGTGGCTGTGGGAGGAGACCAGGCAGGGAGGGTGGGCATAAAAGCAAAGACAGCCTCAAACCACTCCCTTGGGTTCCTCTTGTACTCATCTTTTCCTTCTGGAGGGGCACCTCTCCCCCCTTTTTCGGTTCTACCATCTTTTCTTTCCTAGTCTCTCCACGTGTCTCCATGTGTCCTGGAGATGGCGTTTCTCGCCCACTTTCACTTCCGCCACCCCTCTCCAGGTGGCTAGCCATGCTGTCCGCAGAGAGCCCATGTTTGTGTGCGAATGTGCTATCAAAAGCTTTACTTTCTCTCAAACGTTGACTTTGACTTGCGATCGTGTTTCAGCCGTGTGCATTCTTTCTGCATAGAGAAACAAGAGCCGAGGAAAACCACCCCAAACCAAGCACTACCATCATAATGATTCTACAGTGGTAAGGGCTTCCAGGCTTTTCTACTTATGTCGGGTGAGTCCAAACAGAGCTGTGAGGCTTTGAAAGAGGGGTTTCTTTGATCTATGTGGTCCCATAGTAGCTAACGGGTGCTAGGAGAAGGGATTACTCCTTCAACTCGCTCTCGTTGTATGTGTGTCTAGTGTCAAAGTCAGGAGAGGAAAAGGTTTGCATTAACTAAAGTAATGTTGGGAGTTCTGAGGGCCTGTCTTTGTACCTTGGTGGCGCAGTGTGTGAAGTATTAGGCTGCTAATCAAAAGGTTGGTCATTCTTGTTCTTGGTGCCTAAGAAGAAAGGCCTGGCAATCTACTTCCAAAAATAAGCCACTGCAAACCAAACCATGTTGAGTGCAGATCTACCCTGACTCTCATGGCGTCACCAGTGCGTTGGCATCAACAGCAACTGGATTCCGTCTAATGTACTGTAACAGAATTGTTAGTTGAGAAGTCTGTGTCAACAGAGACAGGGATTCCAAGCAGGAGGAGTAGAATGTTGAGGCATGATTGGAAGTATTTGACAGCAGAGGTTGTTCCAGGCCACATTTTCAATGTATGTGGTCCTGTGTTAGATAGTATAGTCAAAAATATTAGGAATTACAATAAAATTACCAGGATTCTAATTCTAAACTTATCACGTAGTAACTGGGTGAGCTTGAATGAATGATTTTATCGCGTGGTATCATAGTACCATCTTTTAAATGAGGATAATGAGAGAATCTATAAGGTTTCTTCTTCATTGCGATCATGGTGAGATTTTGTCTCACATACTTTGTGACAGGCTATCAGGAGAGATCAGTCACTGAAAAAGAACATCATGTTTGGAAGGTCCTCATGAGATTGTTTGACACAGTGGCTGCAACAATGGACTTAAACGTAACAGTTGGTGAGACTGGCACAGGACCTGGCAATGTTTAATTCTGTTATACATAAAGTGGCTTTCAGCCCATTCAGTGGTGCCTAACATCAGGCTCCTGTGAATCCATGAGTGGACAGGTATAAAACCTGCAGATAATGCTTGATGCATAAGTGCTGCTATTATGTGTGAGGCCATGGTTTTCCCAGCCACCCAGATTAAAACATTAATAGGATTTTGCCAGATTTATTTAATCTTTGCCAGATTTACGTAATAATTTACACTTCCAGAGTCCTGGCGATGCAGTGGTTAAAGTGGTTGACTGGAGAAAGGTTGGCCACCAGCTTAAAGCCATCAGCTGCTCAGTGTGAGAAAGATCGTTTGCTCCTGCAAGGTTGCACTTTGAAAACCCTCTGAGGCAGCTTTGCTTTGTCCTGTACGGCTGCTATGAGTCGGAGTCCACTTGATGAGTGGGTGGCTTTGTTTGTTAAAGCCTTGTAGAGCTCATCACTTCCTTTTTCTCTCCTCAGTTGTGCCTTTTGTGGATGCTGTGCTTCTCCAGGCAAATTAACCCTAAGGAAAACCAACCAGTTCTTGAATTTCTATACCATGGCCCTTGTAAGTTACTGGTTCATTTTCCTACTGGAAATACTATTATGTTTAGGTTCTGTCAGTATTCCTTTATTCAGAAAACTTCCTATCAGCCACGTCACATCTAGTGGGGGGCTAAATATTCCAATGTCTATCTGATGTGCCCGTTTTTTCTAGTCATTGCTCCTGTGTACTCATTCCTCTGCCAAGAGCAATAGAGGAACAGAAATGAAATCCTTTGAGGTAGAAATTTGATCCATTCTTAAGACTTGATGAGAGAGTGGATCCGTTTGACCACTCATAGGGAAGCTCTGAACTCTTCCAGCTTGGAGTCTTCAACTCTGAGATAGGACTTGGTGGTGGTCTCCGCCTCAGTGCATGATGAGACCACTTGCTTTGAGAGGTTAGGACTGGGTAGGGATGTGCTTGCATACAAAAGGAGCTGAGCTCTCTGCTGGCTCAGCCCCAGAATGGCACACCATTAAAATATTTCACTTGTAGTTGAGCAGGATGTCCTATTCTACCAGGGCATCTGAGCCATTTGGATCAGGTAAGATCAACCAGACACATAAGTCATAGATTATTGAAGATTCTCAGAATTGAGGAGGGCCTTAGGGATTTTGTCTCACTGAAATATTTAAGTCTAGGAGATTTTTTTGTTTGTTTTATTAATGAGTTTGTAATAAAAAGGAAAACTACATGTGAACTCTGACTCAACTTTAATCGTCTTTGGATCCTTTTCTGAGGGAAACTTAACTTCAAAATTTGTTCCGTAAGGGAGAAGTGGGGAAAACTCACTTATTGAGAATTGATGAGTCAAACATACAGCACCGAGAGGACTAGACAGCTTGTATGCAATATTTCTTTTTAAAATATTTTACTGGGGGCTCGTACAACTTTTATCACAATCCATACATCCATCCATTGTGTCAAGCACATTTTTAACATTTGTTGCCATCATCATTCTCAGAACATTTTCTTTCTACTGGTATCAGCTTCTCTTTTTTTCACCCTCCCTCCCCATCCCTCCCCCCTCACGAACCCTTGATAATTTGTAAATTATTATTACTTTGTCATGTTTTACCCTGTCTGATGTCTCCCTTCATCCACTTTTCTGTTGTCCATCCCCCAGGGAGGGGTTTATTATATACAGTATTTCATCTAATTGGAAAACTGATTATTTTTTTCTATCTCAGACATGTTTGTACACTGGAGGCATCCTTCCAGAGTCTGCAGGTGGTGTACACATAGGCCTTCTGCTCAGACACACGGATTTCCTAAGTCACTGTGCTATAGGCTGCCAGCCAAGCCTGTGTGTGTGCCAATGATCCTTTTCCTTCCTGCATCGTCTCCTCATCTTTTACATTTTAAAACAGGTTTTCTCTAATTTCAGTTTCATGACATGGGTTTATCATTTCAGGGGTCAGTGATGTTCAGTGATGTCTCCATAGTTTTCTCTCAGGAAGAATGGGAATATCTGGACGTGGACCAGAAAGACTTGTACAGAGATGTGATGTTGGAGAACTATAGCAACGTGGTTTCCTTGGGTAAGGTCCTGTGAAATAGCAACATTTTTGTTGTATGAGGCTGGTTCTCCAGAGAACCCAAACTAGTGAGATTTATATGTGTATACAAAGAATGAAATACATTTCAAGATGTGGCTCACCTTGTTCCAAAAGCAGGTAAATTGAGTCTAGTTCAAGTCTATGAGTCACATGCTAGCTGGAGCCTTTTCTTGACTCATGTAGCTGTCCGGGCTAATAAACCTGGAAGTAGGAAGGTCACAGGTTGATGGACGCAGAGGTGGAGGAATACAAGTTCAGCAAGCCAGGCTTGTGACTTCAGAGTCAAATGAATTCAAGGTTCCCAGGCAATATGGTAGACCACTGAGAGTTCCCAGTCTGTAGACAGTGTGCAAGCTGCTGGTTCAGATCCAAAGAACAGATCTGTGTGAGACAGATGCAGGATACAGGCTAGCAAGAAGGGCCAAGCCTTCCTTCCCACAGAGTGCTTAAATAGGAGTTGGCCACAGTCCCATGGAAACTTCCTTTCAATTGCCTTTCATCTTAATGGTCTCACAACTGCTTGGCTGCAGATTCCATCGTGGAGTTGATTGATTCTATTTTGTTAGTTCACATCAAAGGGGAAGCTTCAACTGCCAAACTGCTGAGCCTCCTGGCCCAGCCAAGTTGACATAAAACCTAACTGTTACTCTCTAAAAAGCCTAGCCACATTTCTACGTCCTCTTCTCAAAGAAATGGTTCTGTCTTTAATGGCTTTCAAGCTTTCTTTAATAATGAAAAGGCTAAATTTGAAAGCTGAGTGATTTTTGACCTAACCATTATAAAAATTAAAACAGGCTTTACTTTTTGTTTGAGCTCGTAATTTTTATAGATATTTGGTTATTTGTATATATGTAAGGAAAATAGGTAGACTTGTGTTCTTGATTTTTCTCTATTCCAAGAGCATGTGTAGTGTATGTAATGGTAAGTTCAAACAAGATTTATTTATAATTCAAGAGAGCATATTTCTATTTTTAAATAAGTATATTCACTTTTACCTACTTTTGTGATCAAAAGGTACAAGCTCCAGAACTTTTCATTTAATATCATTGTAATTATCATAAGAAATAGCAGAACATGTCTTCAAAAACCAAAAAAAAAATGTCCCTGCCATCGAGTCAATTCAAACTCTTAGCGACCCGGTAGGAGAGAGTTAGGACTACTCCATAGGGTTTCTGAGATTGTAAATCTTGATAGAAATGAATGGCCTCATCTTTCAGTATGGCAGAGCTGATGGATTTCAAAATTACAGCCCTTTCAGTGAGCAGCCCAATGTTTAACCTACTGCGCCACTGGGGCTCCTGTAAATGCCTTAGGCAGCTTATTTTCCTCAACAGATAACAATATCAATAATAGTTATTAATATATACTGTTCTACTACAGGCCCTGTTCTGAAGTATGGGTTCTTTTTGTAGTTAAAGCTCAAACTGTTATTTCTTCAAAGTGTGGCTTAATGGCAGATAGCGATTTATTTCTTTATTTTTAAAATACTTATATTGGGGCTCTTGCATCTCTTCTCACAGTGCATGCATTCCTCCAGTGTGCCAAGCACATTTGCACATAAGCTGCCATCATCATTTTCAAAGCATTCTCTTCCCACTTGAGCCCCTGATATCAGCTCCCCATTTCTTACCCTCTCTCCCCCTGTTCTGAGTTTTTAGTTTTCCCAACAACCATATAAAGTAGATATTACTGCTATCCCATTTTGATGGGATAATGAAGCATAAAAGCAACTTGTCCAAGGCCACACAACTGGCATGTGGCAGAGGTAAGAACAAGCCATCTGTTCTCAGTCACAACGCTTGATTCCCAAGGATACTTGTGTGAATACGAATTAAAGTAAAACCTCTTTCCTGCTATCTTTATATGATGTGACTTAGTGTGAATGTTTTTTTATCCATCATGCCCTTCTTTGTTCTAAAGGTTTAGTCTGTAGTTTATTACAAATCTGACCTCGACCGAATCAAAGTCATTTTTCCCGTAATTGTTATTTCTACATCATCTTCCATTTCTTTCCATGGAAGCGGGATGTTTCATTTCTAAACCAGATGTGATTTCCTTACTGGAGCAAGGGAGAGAGCCCTGGGAGAGAGCGAGGCAAGGAAGAGGACGATGCCTCGGTGAGTGAAGGCATGTGGGCAAGGGGAAACCAGCCCCACGGGAAATACACCAGCTACCTGGGATGGGACATAGCCTTGGGATGTTACTTCTTGGCTGGAATACTAAAATAATTTCTCCATCTTTTTACCACTTTTTCGTCTTTTCTGTTTTTCTCCTCTCTGAAGGAAGTGGGTTTTGGGGGTTGCTCTCTTTGTTCCCTATTGACAACCATTCAACTTGATTTAGTGACTTTCTTCTTTTGCATTTACCTGAGAGTATATTCATTCTTCTGTTTATTCAGCAGGCATCTCCTAAGCGCCCTCTCTGAGCCAGTCTCTATGCTAGGCCTTATCAATCAAAGGTTGAACAAAACCAACGGAGTCTCTGTTACCATGGAGTTTATGTTGTAGAAAAGGAAGCACACTAACTGTAAATAAATAGAAAGTAGATTGTCTCCTAGTTTAAAAGTTCCGTGAAGAAAGTTAAGTAGCTAGAAGGATAGAGAACTATGTGGAATAAAACCTTTTTGTTCAAATGGAAATAAAATATCTTCTGCTTCTCATACCAATTAAAGGAAGGAATTCTATTCCAGTGTACTGGGCTTCCTCTCACGCTCAGCACCTGGAGCTAGGCCGACCTCAGCAGATGGAAAGATACAGCCCCTCCGACTGCCAGGGCTGCACAAAACTGTAAATGCCATCCTCATGGTGGTGGTGGTGGTGGTGGTGGTGGGGCATGGCACTCTCACTTCTGACATGCTGAGTAGAAATTCATGGGTTCCACTACCCGCCAGGATGCCAGTCCCCCCAGGATGCCAGTCGCAGGCTCCTCCTAGCACCTCCACTGTTCTCTCAGGTTCAGTAATTTCTAGAACACTGCACGGAACGCAGGAAATACACTGTACTGTGATTACAGTTTCATTATAGCAAATAGGATATAAATGAAGTTTACCAATGTGGAGGTGTCCATGTCCCCAGAAGGAACATGGTCCCCTCCCACAGATATCCGTTATTTAGCTTTTGGGATGCGGGGTCTCATTACATGGGCCTGGTCGAGCTCGGCTGATAACGTATATGGTGAGTTTCCCTGCTATAGCCTGCTCCAACCTGAATCACGTCATGAGTGTAATCTGTCGGATGTGGAGCCCTCGTAGATGACAAAACTACCCCAGTCACTGGGTAAATTTCAGGGTTATAGAGGCTATCTCATAGGAATGAAGGATTACCACCAAATTCTCCTGGTAAAGCTCATTGTAAACCCCACAGTTAGAGAAGGTTTTAGAAAGAATGTTATTTAACTTGTTTCGTAAAACTTTAAATAGATGAAAGATTATACAGAAGGATACACTTCACTTTGTGTAAAACCTTTAATCAGCAACTAAAGTTTTATGTGGGTTACTCCAGAAGATACTTTCTTGGATCATAAACTGTTGGTGCCGTATTTGCTGTTTTCTATCTCTGTATCTACTTTCTCACTAGGGCGAAACATGGATGTTTGGGGTTAGCTTCTACTTCAGAGGTATTTTCTTCTCTATTTTTAAACGTTTGTTAAAGTTTTCATTATATATATATGTGTGTGTGTGTGTATATATATATATATATATATATATATATAAAAATATAAATTGTTTATACAGAGACCTACATTATCGTTTTGCTTATTACTATTTATTCAGATCTGGCTAAGGCCATCAATTTGGGGTTAACAGTTCTGGTTTTGTCACCATGGGCTGTTTCTGTACCCATACTGTGAGATAGCCGCTAGTGGATTTCTTTCTAAAGAATAAAGAAAAAAACAGGCTTTAAAAATGTTCGTTTTTTATGCTTGTCAATTATGTGCTATTGGTGGTTGTTGTTAATGTTCTAGCAAGGCAGTTCTGCCTCTTAGCAACCCAGTGTACAACTGAAGACAACACTCCCAGGTCTTGCACTGTACTCACATCATTGTCATACTTGAGCCCATTGTGGTTTTTTGACTTTTTGTTTTTGCTTTTTTTAAAATCATTTTATTGGGGGGCTCGAGCTCATTGTTGTAGTCATGTTATTGTCAGTCCATCTATGTGAATAGCTTCATTATTTTCACTTACCCTTTACCTAAGCATAGCATAAACTAGAAACTGGCTCCTCCTGATCTTATGTCCAAAGTGCGTGAGGTGATGTCTCAGCATCCTTGTTGAAAGGAGCATTCTGGCTGTGCTTCCTCCAGTACAGATTGTTTCTTCTTCTGGCAGGCCGTCGTGCATTCAGGAGTCTTTGCCAGCAACATAATATAAATGCATCAAGTATTATTTTTTCTTGTTTACTGTCTAGTTTTCCCATGCGCTAAAGACCATTAAAATGCCATAAATCCATTAAAAAGACCATAGTTTGGGTCAGGCACAGTTTCCTCCTCAAAGGGACGGCTTCACTTTTTAGCACTTCACTTTTTGACATCTTCCCTTTTTAACAGGTTCTTTGCAGCACATTTCTTTAATGCAATATGTCTTTTGACTTCTTAAGGTTTTCATGAGCATCAATTATAGATCCAGTAAAATTAAATCCTTAGCAACTTCAAGATCCCCTTTATCGTGATGTTGCTTATTGGTCCAGCTTTGAGGATTTTTTGTTTTCTTTAAATTGAGGTGTATAGAAAACAAACACCCCCACAACTGGACCAGTGGACAACATCATGATAAATACAGAAAAACGGAAATTGTCAACGATTTGATTTTACTTGGATCCATAATCAAGATCCATGGAAGCATCAGCCAGGAAGTCAGACAGCATGCTGCATTGGGTAGATCTGCTGTAAAAGGCGCTAAGAGCAATACTACTTTGAAAGGACTAAGCACACCTGGCCCAGGTCATTATGTTTTTCCCTTGTCTCTTACTCATGTGAAATCTCCACACAATGAATTAGGGGGGGTTGAAGGAATTGATGCATTAGAATTATGGAATTGGTGAAGAATATTGAATGTACCATGAACTGTCAGAAGAACAAACAAATCTGTTTTGGAAGAAGTACAGCCAGAATGTCTGTTAGAAGTAAGAATACTGAGCTAAGCTTCGTGCTTCGTGCTGCATGCTTTGGATGTGCTCCAGTACCTGAAAAAGGCCATGCTTGTAGAGGGTCAGCAAAAGAGAGGAAGAGCCGCAGTAACGCAGCGGCTGCAACAGTGGGTGCACACGTAGCAACAATTGTGAGGGCCGTGTAGGACCAGGGAGGGTTTCATCCTGGTCTGCAGTGGATGGCTATGAATCCAAGCCTCCTGGATGGCACTTACAAATAACAAAATATCTTATTAAGTGTATGTGAAGTATATTGACTTGTAATTCGATTTGACATCACACTGCCTTGCCAAATTCTCCAATGGTTCATATTACTTTCGAGTTTGTCAATTATGTAGCCATTTAGCTGTAAGTAGTTTTACTTCCTTTCTTATTCTTTTACCTCTGACTTTTCTATTTAGTCAATAACTTAAATGCTTGGTTAAATTGTAGTGTTGATGGTGGGCAAGTGTCTTTGATTGAGGTAATAAAAATGTTATCTGGGGGAAGTAATTGTTGCAGGTTTTATTGAGCTGTGTTGTAAAAATCCGTAACAGTCTTGACATTTGTTTAGTTGTAGATAAGGTGATGTGGTGTTTTCTTTTTTGTTCTTTTAATATGATAAATTGGAGCAATTTGTCATTCTTGAGATGAACAATCCTGAGTCTTCCAATGTGGTGTGTTGTTGTTGTTGTTGTTGGGTGCCATCAACTTGGTTCTGACTCATCGTGACCCTGTGTCAACAGAAGGAAGCACTGCCCGATCTTTCTCCATCCTTGTTATATTTGAACCCATTTTGTTAGTACTGATCCGTGAATTGAGTGGGTTTCCAATTGCGCTATAGAACTGTATCTGTTTAAACCTTTATCTCTTTTGTGGTTAATTTTGGTAAATTATATTTTCCTTAAAATTACCTATTTCAGCATATTTTAAAAATTTGTTGACAGTAATGTTTAAAGCTATATATGCTTTATTCTGCCATTTCTTATCTATTTCTTGCTGTTTACATTATGTTGACAATTTTAATCAATTTTTTTTATTTTTTTAAAGGGATCAATTCTTGCTTTATACCTTTTCCTTATTTATTTATTTTAAAATTCATTTTATTGGGGCACTTTACAACTCATAACATTTCATACAACAATTGTATCAAGCATATTTCTACATATGTTGTCATCATCATTTCCAAAACCTTTTCTTCTTGAGCCCTTGGTATCAGCTCCTTGTTTTCCCCTCACCACAACCCTCCTATCACCTTTTTCTTTTTTTTTAGTCAAATTTTTCTTTTATATGTTTTTTCCTCCTCATGCTTCCTAATTCTGTGGGATTCTTAATTCATATTTATATTTCATTTTATTGCTATAGTTACTTAAGTCTTTGGATTTTCTTCCAAGTATTATATTTCAGAGGTAATTGTGTATTTTTATTACCATTGTTTTCTTAATAAACACATTTACTGTTTTGGATGTCATGTTTTTATCGACCTAATAGTTATTTAACATATAGTTTTAAATTTTCAGTTGGATATAATTTTTCTGATTTTGTTGTTAATAAAATATTATGAAAATATTTTTATGCAGACCATATTTTGATAATTAAAAACTTCATTTTAAAAAATCATTTTACTGGGGGCTCATACAACTCTTATCACAATCCATACATCCATCCATTGTGTCAAGCACATTTGTACATTTGTTGCCATCATAATTCTCAAAACATTTTCTTTCTACTTCAGCCCTTGGTATCAGCTCTCATTTTCTCCCCTCCCTCCCCTTCCCTCCCCTTCTTCCCTCATGAACCCTTGATAATTTGTAAATTAATATTTTTTCATGTTTTACCCTGTCCGATGTCTCCCTTTACCCACTTTTCTGTTGTTCGTCCCCCAGGGAGGGGGTTATATATAGATCAGTGTGATCAGTCCATTCCCCCACCCCCACATTCCCCTTCCCCCACTGGTATCTCTCCCCTCATTATTGGTCCTGATGGGTTTATCTCTCCTGGATTCCCTGTGTTTCCAGCTCTGATCTGTACCAGTATACATCCTCTGCTACATTTAGCATTTAGTCTATTCTTCTGTTTAGTTTGCTTTCCTCTGGTCCACGTTCAACATGTTTGTTTTGTCAACAAGTCCTTCACACTCACCCCGTGTTCTTTGTCCCCGTTTGTGATGGACAAACCTGTATCTTTTTTGCTAAAAGTGTTGTAAATACTTCAATTTGGCTTAAACATATTTCTTTGTCTGAAAAATCATTGATATGTATTTCTAGAAAATAGAAAAGTGGTATTGCTTATGAAGGAATGGAAGGCAGAAGACCTTCCACAAAGGAAGAAAACCAGTAGAACATTTATAAAATAGATGAGTTATATCATAATTTTAAGGGTAGATAAGTAGGACTCTCAATATATCAGTGATAAGATGGCCAAGAAAAGTAATCAGTGCTTACATAAAGCAAGGAATGGGCAATGCAGGGAGCACTGCATAGATAACAAACATAAGCAATGTGAGGAAGTATAGGAACAGAAAATCGCCTTTTTTATTCCCATATTTAGTGAGTGTGTTAGTTCAAGTTAACTAGAGAAACAAATTCATAGGCACTCATATGTGTATAAGAAAAAACTTTTATATAAAAGAGCAATTGTATATTGAGAAAAAAGTCCAGCCTAGTCCAGGTCAAGTCCATAAGTGCAATATTAGCCCATGTGCTCAATTCTAGTCCATAAATTCCTCTTCAGATGCATGTAGCACATGCAATGGTGCCAAAGCAGGAATATCACAAGCCAGTGGATAGGAAATCTTGTGGATCCAGTGGTAGTGGAAGCATCTCAACACTGGCACAGGTCTCCACATGTCTCCACCTCTCTGAGTGTCTCGGCAGCAGGAAAGATAAGGCAGAGAAAGTGTGTCCTACCTCCAGGGAGGAAGACCGGAGTTCCCAGAATTCTCAGGAGAAGGCCATGCCCACAAGGTGGGGTCAGTCAGGCTGTGGCCTGATGACAGGCTATACTCCACCTCTTCGCTCAAGTTGACAGGAGATTATTTAACTGCCACAGTGAGTTAGCTGAAGTGAAAAAAGAGGGTATTTATTAAATCATTGTAAGAAGGTGTGAGAGATTATAGGCAGAGATATATTTGGAACCAGTTTCTAAGTGGGAATTAAATGAATAAAACCTCTTATGTATTACTGGTTTAACAAAGTAAAGTAGGAGCTATTTCTGTACTTGGAGTCTTAGGGTCAAGATAATAAGCAGTTGGGCAAATGAGAAAATAATTTCAAAATTCAGAAATGTTTTAATTTCAAATATGTTGGTCTGGGTTGACTAGAGAAACAAATCTAGTGACATTCATGTGTGTCAGAAAGAGCTTGATATAAAGGAGTAATTGCATATCAAGAAAACATCCCAGCCTAATGCAAATCAAGTCGATAAGTCTGATACTAGTTGTGTTAGTCTGGGTAGACTAGAGAAACAAATTCATAGAAACTCATGTGTATAAGAGTTTTACATAAAGACTAATTATACATTAAGAAAGCATCCCAACCCAGTCCAGTCCAAGCCCATAAATCCGATATTAGCCCATATGTCCGATACCAATCTATAAAGTCCTCTTCAGACACACGAAACATGCAATGACGCTGAATGCATGATGATCACAGGCAAGTGGGTAGAAAGTCTGTGGATCCAGTGGTGGTGTAAGCATCTCAGCACTGGTAGAAGTCCATGTGGCTTCTTTTCTTCAGGGATGTCTTGCGGGGAGTCAGCCTTGTCCATAGAGTCTCCAAGGGAGTGGGTGGAGAGAGAAAATGTCTCCCACCTCCAAGGAGGAAAATACAGGAGTTCCCAGAATTCTTAGGGGAAGGCCATGCCCACACAGAGGCTTCATTGGCTGTGATCCGATTGACAGGCTAGCATCACCCCTTCACTCTTAATCCTATCAAGTCCCAAATTGACACCAGATTATGTAACTACCACACTAGTCCATAAATCCCTCTTCAGACTCACAGCTACATGCAGTGATGGAAAATACGGGAAGATCACAGGCCAATGGGTGTAGAGTCTTGTGGACCCAATGACAGTGGAAGCATCACAAGGCTCTGGCAGGTCTCAACAGCCAGGGCTCTCCAACAGGAAGGTGGAGGCAGAGAGCAGCACACCTTCAGAGAGGCGTTTATCTTGGTAGCACCTCCAAATGAGGTCATCAAGCTGCGACCTGATCCACAGGCTAAACTCCACCCCTTCGCTTCATCTCTTCAGGTTGACACAAAATTACATAACAACCACAACAGAGAACAGAGAAAAACAACATAGATTTAGATATTGTCAATAGGGTCAGGCTTAAATGAAATTACTTCAAGGATGCAAAGTCAGCCATGTGAGCCCAGTCCGTGTCTGTAGGCAATAGAGAAGTCTAAAAAGTTCTAAGAAATGGTAATAAGTTGGAATATGCTCTCAGATCCAAAAGGAGGTCCTTCTAGTCAGCAGTAAAGGGAACAGTGGTTTGAGATAATGTCTTAAAGTAAACTTGTTGAACTTGGTGTGTTTTTTCATCCAAGAATAAAGTAAGGTGACCAGATTTTAACATTGGTAAAGCGGGACACCATTGATAAAACTCATATCCTGGTGAAATAGCCACGTGGCAGCCGAAAACTATATACCCTAGCTTGTCGTGCATTCTTTCCAAAAATTGGGACTTCTTAAAAACGGTGCAGGACGCGGGAAAAATTGTTAAAAATCAGGACTGTCCCGCCAAAAGCGGGACGTCTGCTCACCTTAGAATAAAGTGATATTATCAAAAAGATTTAGGTAGTGTTTCACAGCCTTTGATCTCCATCAGAATAATTGTATTGAGAGTGAAATATAGGACTTCCCAGGACTATAGAATCTGATCCAGGTGGTCTGAATGTTATCTAAACATCAGTCATTGTTAATAAACTTCATACATTTCAATTTTGGGAATCATTTTGATTTAACTTATTTCCAATGTCATTATCTTAAATGAACTGTTATCATTCCCATGTTTGTTTTAAATTGCATAACAGTATTTTGTGTTTTAATTGGATATTAATTACCTTTTATATCATAGAAATTTTATTTTCAGAACAGTAAAAAATTAAAAACAGTATATGTTTATTCTCTTGTGTTCTTTCAGATTGGGAGACCAGGTGTGAGACCAAGAAGTTATTTTCAGAAAATGATATTTATGAAATAAATTTGTCACAGTGGAAGATAATGGAAAGAATCAAAAACCATGGCCTTGAAGGCCTTGTTTTTAAAAAGAATTGGGAATATAAAAGCAAATTTAAAGGACAAGAGGAACCTCAAGAAGAATCTTTCAATCAAGTGAAAATTACATCTGAAAAAGTTTCCTCTTACCAGAAACGCAAATCTCTTATTCCACAACAGAGCATTAATTTTGTGGAGAAACCCTATGAATGCCAGGAATGTGGGAAGGCCTTTAGAGTACGTCAACAACTTACTTTCCATCACAGAATTCATACTGGTGAGAAACCCTATGAATGTAAGGAATGTGGGATGGTCTTTAGGCAGACTGCACACCTTACTCGACATCAGAGACTTCATTCTGGTGAAAAACTCTATAAATGTAAAGAATGTGGAGAATCTTTCATATGTGGCCCAGACCTTAGAGCACATCAGAAAAATCATATTGGTGAGAAACCCTTTGGATGTAAAGAATGTGGAAAGGCCTTTAAAGTACGAGGACAACTTACCCTCCATCAGAGGATTCATACGGGTGAGAAACCCTATGTATGTAAGGAATGTGGGAAAGCCTTTAGACAATATGCACACCTTACTCGACACCAGAAACTTAATATTGCTGACAAACTTTATGAATGTAAAGAATGTGGGGAAGCCTTTTTGTGTGGTTCAGGCCTTAGAGCACATCATAAAATTCATACTGGTGAGAAACCCTATGAATGTAAGGAATGTGGGAAGGCCTTCAGAGTCCGACAGCAGCTAACTCTTCATCAAAGAATTCACACTGGTGAAAAACCTTACGAATGTAAGGAATGTGGAAAGACCTTTAGCCGTGGTTATCATCTTATTCTTCATCACAGAATTCACACTGGTGAAAAACCTTATGAATGTAAGGAATGCTGGAAGGCCTTTAGTCGTTACTCTCAACTTATTTCACATCAGAGTATTCATATTGGTGTTAAACCCTATGATTGTAAAGAATGTGGGAAGGCCTTTAGACTACTCTCGCAACTTACTCAACATCAGAGTATTCATATTGGTGAGAAACCCTATAAATGTAAGGAATGTGGGAAAGCCTTTAGATTAAGACAGAAACTTACTTTACACCAGAGCATTCATACTGGTGAGAAACCCTTTGAATGTAAAGAATGTAGGAAGGCCTTTAGACTTAATTCATCCCTTATTCAGCATCTGAGAATTCATTCTGGTGAGAAACCTTATGAATGTAAGGAATGTAAAAAGGCCTTTAGACAACATTCGCATCTTACCCATCATCTGAAAATTCATAATGTAAAATTATAAGATTTCTTAATCTTGTTTTTTAGAACATTCTGTGAATGTAGAATCTCTTTTTGCTTCATATGTACAAGTGATTTATCATAAAAGACCGTGCAAAATAATGTATTCCACTATCTCTCAACATAATATATTTTAGCACATTGATTTCTTTTCAATTTTTTATTGTGATTGAATGAAATTAAACAATTTTCACATTTTTTTGTGTGACATTGATTACAATCCCTACAATATAACAGTACTCTTTATATTTGTTTGCCCCAGTATTTACCACTTCTCTTGCCCAACTGTCTTATTCTTTCATGCCTTCTAAGCTTCATCTGTGGCCAGATTCTGCCCTTTTGCTATTATTGTTCTAAGGAGTATGTACCTCCCGAGTGTTAGTGTTTTTCTTATAGTTCTATTGTTTGGCTGACATTTGAGCCACTGAAGTAAGTTCAGTTCCAGACTTAAAAGTGTGTCTTTAGGGTTAGTACATTCATTCTCTTTTTAAAAAATATATTATTGAGGGTTCATACAACTCATCACAATCCCTACATCCATTCATTGTGTCAAGCACATTTGTACATTTGGTGCTGTCATTTTCAAAACATTTTCTATTTGAGCCCTTGGTATCAGCTTCTCATTTTTTCCCTTCCCACCCCTGCCCTCCCTCCTTCCTGAACCCTTGATAATTTATAAATTACTATTATTTCATGTCTTACACTGACCGATGCCTCTAATTCTAGTAATATAACAATTGTGGAAAAATCTCTATTACTTTCCTACTTGTGTTATATAAAGATAAGCTTAAAAATATTGCTGTAAAATAATAGAAATCTTTATTAAAATGTGAAGCTATTGTTTCTTGACATATCATCCATCAAAGTCTATACCATTCTGAAGGCGATGTTTCTATCTCTCTAACTCAGAGGTTCTCAACCTTCCTAATGCCACGACCCTTTAATACAATTCCTCATGTTGTGGTGACCCCCCAACCATAAAGTTATTTTCATTGCTACTTCATAACTGTAATTTTGCTACTGTTATGAATCAGGCGACCCCTCTGAAAGGGTCATTCGCTGTTGTAATCCTTTCCCAAACAATTATGGTATATGATTTATACCATATCAAAATGGCAGTCTTGGCACCCTTTTAACTTTGATTTTGTGGGAAAAGATGAAGCTAGAGGGCAACAGCAGAACTGTAGTGTAGATAGGATAAGGTTTCCCAAAGAAATGATCATAGGGCAGCCCTTGTTACCCTTCAAGAATAAGCAAGTACAGGATTGTGATGGGAATATTTCCTTGGCATTTTTGGGGGGTCTTTTCTTAACCAATAAACTTTTTAAATTTTGTAACCCCCTGAAACAATCTCCATAACTTCTGAGCTGTCTTTGCCTTGAATTTAACTGGTCCAGGAGATTCTTTTGGAAGCCACTTTTTTATCGAAACTTAAAAAAAAATTATTTTTAAGACATCCAAACAAGAATCCCTCATACTGCCCTTGAATCAATCCCAACTCATAGTAATCCTGTTGGGTAGGGTAGAACTGCCCTGTGGGTTTCCAGGACTAAGAGGAGGAGAAAGCTGCATCTCTCTCCTGCAGAGCAGCTGGTGGTTTTGAACTGTGGGCCTGTGGTTAGCAGCCTAACACATACTCTACTATACTACCAGCTCCTTCCAATAATAATAAGCTGTTTATTCTAAGATGACTTGTCTACAGCCATCCAGTAATTACAGAGACGTTTAAACACATTTGGAATAAATTTAGGAATTTATGAACAATACTTTTTTGATGTATCCTCATAGTAAGACACAACTAGTCTGCATTGTAATGTTTTTATTTGCAAAATATTGATATACTGTGACCGACTAAAGTTGACCACACATCCTTTGATATTCATATCCTTTTGAGGATATGAACCACATCTACTTCCCTTGAATCCGGGCTAATCCTGTGACTGCTCTGACAAGCAAAATACAATAGAAGTACTGTTTTGCCAGTTTGGGGACCTAGGTTTACTGAGAGATTTTGTATTCTCTCTGGAAACACTCGTGCCTTGACCTGTCATATTTAAAACTGACTCCCCTGCTTAAGAGTTTACATGAAGAGGTTCTGAGAGCGCACAGGCATCCTATTGAGCTAAGATGGCTCCACAAAGACCAAACCTGAAATAATTTTGAATCCTTGAAATCAGCCACTAGTTGAATGCCAAAGGACCTCAATTGATGACATAGAAAACAGAAGACTTGCATAAATTCTTGACCTACAAAGTTATAATAGTTGTATTATGCCATTAAATCTTATATTGTGGAAAACTAACACTGAGGGAAATAGGACTGGGACTCATGCCCTGACAGGTAAGGAGGGAATCTGGAAAGCCGGTGTTCTACGGTAGGAAAACTGCCACTCTGGTAGTTGGAGATATAGTCCAAGTACATTTTCCTGCGGTAATTTATCATTTCCACAGTTTTTCCCTTTAAAGCTGTGGTGCCTTAAAGTAAGCACGTGGTTGATTCTATCTCCCTACAGAAGCAGAAGCTCCTATTTGCTCTATTTCTTTCTGCCGCGGCATCCAGCCCCTCTCATACCTTCCTCCAATAGCAGATAGACATAGGGGGACTTTATCACCCAAGCCTGGATTTAAAATGTTTGCCATAAGCCTGAGATTTTGGCTTAGCTATATTAATTTGGTAATTAAATTTGCCTTGACAGCTTTCAATGTGTAGAAAATAGCCATGTAGCCCCTGTGGCTCTTTTGAATGTAATATATAAAACAAAAGGAATTGTGGGAAACATTTCTCCCAAGTTATCTCCCCCAAATATATTCCAAACTTAGCTGCTTGCTATATATGGTAAATGACTACACTTGGAGGTCAACGAAAAGTAGGTCAAGGTTATTCTCCCTAAGGGTTATATCAGCCATCTAAAATAATCAGACTGTATAGTCTGTCCTGCCCTAAGTAGGGCCCACTCCCTTCTGATAAGTATAGTAGACTATTCCCTTGTAGGAGAACCCAAGGAGGTCAAACCCACTCAAGGGTGACCAAGGTTAGACCACCATCATGAATCTAGGGTCCTCCCATCTTGTCACATGTATACCTTTAGACCCTTCCCTTCCTATCGTGTGTACAACCCTAACTCATCCCCTTCCTGTTACACTTATGCCCATTGTTTATCCCCCTCCTATTGCTTGTATTGCCTATTGTACAACCCCTTCATGTGACATATGTCTACCTGTAATTAGAAGACATGCACACCCCCAGATATATAAGCCTAGGTTAGCAATAAATCTTGCTCTCTCCTGCTCTCTCTTCTTCCATTTCCATGTGGACCACCAAGCGGGCTGAGGTGAGCATGCTACCATGAAGTGTGTCTGACTTCTTTATTTTACTCTCTCCTCTCATTACTCTGACTTTACTGTAATATTTATATATCTTAACTGTACAATTGTGCTTACTGAACCCATGATTAGTTGTGGGGGGCTGGCTTCCCCCACATATTATTATCAATCTTTTGAGAATTCATATTCTTTTGGGCATAATGGCTTAAAAATACCCTTTTCCATCCTTTACTGAAGTTCAAATGTTTTCATTAAAATAGAAATTCTTCATTAAAATACACTAAAAAGCTACATTAAAATTAATGCAGGGAAGAAAACCTATTTATTGTGATTGGAGATTTTGCGGGTGCAAATGTTAAATAATTACAGTTGTTGTTAGGTGCCATCAAGTTGGTTTTAGCTCATAGCAGTGGCTCTAAGAAAACAAACACTGCCCAGGGCTGAGTCATGCTCAGCAATTGTTCTCATATTGGAGCTCAGCAATGCAGCCACTGGGTCAGTCTAGTCGAAGGTCGTTTTTGCTGCCCCTCTACCAAGCACGATGTCCTCCAGGGAGCGGTCTCTTCTGACAACATGTCCAAAGTATGTGAAAGGAGCATCCTTGCTGTACCTTTTCCAAGATAGTTTTTCCTCTCAGCAGTCCATAGTTCTCTGTCTATTATTTGTGAGCAGCATAATTCAAATGTGTATGTTCTTCTTCGGAGTTCCTTATTTAGTGTCCAACTTTCACATGGATATGAAGCTGTGGAAAATACCATTTCACGGGTCAGCGTACCTTAGCCCTCAAAGTAATATCCTTGCTTTTCAACACTTCAAAGGGGTCTTAAGCAACAGATTTACCCAATGTAATGCTTGTTTGGTCTCTTGACTGCTGCTTCCATGAGCATTTTTCATAGATCCAAATAAGACTAAATCCTTGCAACTTCGATCTTCATTTGCCGTGATGTTACCTATTAGTCCAGTTGTGATGATTTTGGTTTCCTTTACATTGAATTGTAATCCATACTGAAGGCTGCAATCTTTGATCTTCATCAGCAAGTGAGTGCTTCAAGTCCTTGCTTTCAGTAAGCAAGGTTATATCATCTGCATCTTGCAGGTTGTTAATAAGCCTTCCTCCAGTCCTAATGCTGCATTCTTCTTTATATAAACCAGTTTCTCTATTTGTTCCGCATACATATTAAATAAATATGGTGAGATACTTATAATAATTAGAGTGTGAAGCAATTTTCTCATAAAATAAATAATCTACAATCTATTAGGTTTGCTGCAAAGATAAACAGGCCAGGCCAGAGAGAAGGAGAAGGAGACGTTTATTCTGCACTCTCAGGTAAGATTCACCGGTCCGAGAGTGGGGGCCATTGAAGTCCTACCTATCTGTGGTGAAAAACAGGTTTTTAAGCTGGTCAGCAGGGTAAACAAGGGAGGGAGCAGGAACTGCAGCTGCAGGGGCTTAAGGCGTCTCCATCTGTGAAATTCCGTGGTAGGGTGGTGTCTTGATCATTCCACCTGATACCGAGGAGATGGCTGATTGTCCTGCAGCCCCTTTGAAGCTAACCATTTCGGTCGAATAAGGGCAGGTCAGGCTGTTCCGAGTGTTCCCAACCTGTGCCTGGCACAACATTCTGGCCTTTTTGGTGACAATGGGGCAACACTAGTCTGGCTGCTTCCTGCTGGACTGAGGCAGCGAGGGATTAAAGGCTAGAGTGCACTGGGTCAGGTTCAGTAGGCAGGGGCCTGTAAGGGTGTAAAAGAAGCTGGTTAAAAAAAAGAGAATGAGGACCTGATGCCAGGGGGCTTCAGTGGAGAGCAGATGTTTTGAGAATGACGAGGGCAATGAATGTACAAATGTGCTTGACACAATTGATGTATGTATGG